TTTGGGGTCGGGTGTGGGTGAGGTTATTTATAACCTTCCCCTTTTTAATCTCAGCCGTCCATCACGATTTAATCTGCTCCGTCCGATCGCGATTAAAATAGGAATAAATCTGGATCGTCCATCCCGATGCGATCTGGGCCATCCGTGCGTGATTCAATCTAGGCCGTCCGCACGCGTGAGATCTGGGCCGTCCTTGCGCATGAGATCTGGGCCGTCCGCACGCGTGAGATCTGGACCGTTCAATCGTGTGCACGCGGATCGCTCTCGTGGCTCCATCCGCGTGGTCTCCCGCATCAGCTTCCTTGTCACGCAGCGTGTTCTGGTTGGTCGGAGCCGCTGACTGGGCTGTTAACGTGGCTGCTGACATGGTACAACTTTTTTAAATTACGTTTTGACCCCCCGGTTTCCAATTTTCTTTTCAAAAACACCATCAGAATCCAAATTTTCACTCTTTTTTCCCAAAATCAATTTCAATTAAATTTCAAAAATAATTTTACCCTATTTTATCATTATTATTATTTTTATTTTCATTAAATTAAATTAAATTAAATTAAAACTTTATAAATTAAATATTAAAAAATTAAACTAAAATTCTAATATATATTAAAATAAATAAGAAAAAAATAAAAAAATAAAAAAAATAAATTAGGTGTTACAACTCTCCCCCCTTTAAAGAAATTTGGTCCTCCAAATTTGCCTCTTACTCTTGGTCGAACAAATGGGGATACTGGGGTTTAAAATCTGATTCTAGCTCCCAGGTAGCCTCCCTCGGCGTGTGGTTCTGCCACACGACCTTTACAAATGATATTTTCCGGTTGCGGAGTATTTTGCTCTTTTGGTCCGTGATACCGACTGATACTTCTTCATAAGATAAGTCCTCTTTGAGTGGAAGCAGTTTATGAGCCAAAGCATGAGCGGGGTCTGGATTGTACTTACGTAGCATGGATACGTGGAACACATTGTGGACTTTGGAGAGCTCTGGAAGCAGTGCTAGTCAATGGAGCATAATTTATAACAAACTTATTTATTAATAATAAAAACCTTTACTTCTGTGGCAGTGAGATAGTGTGATGTCTTTACTGGCTAGTGTAGCTCATTCCTTACTTAACCATTTCAGATCAGGAAGATGTGGTTCCCGAGCCCGTTCCACAGGAAGACGGCGAGTTAGACGTCTAGAGACTTTATAGTTCTATTTATAGTTTTTATTTCGAGTATTTCTTTTAATCAGCTTATTCTTTCATATGTTGAATACATTTTTGGTTATTGTGTAAGGGATGTTAATCAAAATTTTTATTTCGCTTCCGCATTTAAGATTTTTTATACATACATCTTCATTTAAAATTTTCGAGACCGTTACAGTGTTTATGTGGATTGTAAAAAGTAAAAAGGGAAGATGCAAGAATAACAACTCCATTTTTCATCATCGTTAGTTATAGATCCTGACAGAAAAAGGAGAAAGTTCTAGGAGAAAAAAAAATAGAAATATAAAATACTAAACTTTCTATTTTTAATAATTTAAATATTTGTTAAGAAAAACATATATTGTCTATTGCATGTAAGATATACAAGCGAAAAAAGATAGAAAAAAAATCACGTAGCTACTTAGAGGATTAACATAAATGACATTAGAAGAAATTGATAGAGATGGACTTATTTATGTAATACACGGGTCTGAAATTTGGCCCGGAATTATTTTTAATATTAAAAAAATATATAAAAATTTA